AGTGAAAACTATTAATCTTTAAACATTTTTCCCCATTCAGGCTTTAATCTTTAACTTTAGTAGATAATTTTAGACACATTTAAAAATAAAACGCAAATTTAATTCTACCAACAATTCATTTTAAAAACTGACTGGTTGGGCATTGATTTTAAATATGCCAGCTTTAAAATTAATGTTGGCTGATTTTAATGTATGCTGGCATTTCGCCAAAAAACATTAGCGTGAGTATGTACTTTGAAAAAGTATTATTTCATTTTGTCCATTTAAGCTCTTTATTTATGGAAATGAAATACGTTATATTTTATTCTTCTTAGCTTATTTAATAAAGGCAATCAATAAATAAGACTAATAAAACAAGGTTTTGGTTTATAATAGAAAATAACTGACTTAATATCTTGAAAAAATCTATAATGAATACGCATTATAAAAAATACTTTCTTAACAAAATAAATATAATACTGCTTTAAATATACCAGATTATAGTAGCTTGAAGATGTCAAACATTAAATCTTAAAAATGAATAGGTCTCAATTTATCACTTACAATTGTTTCTTTTTAGTTTCAAATATTAGCAGTTGTCAGTTTTTAAAATTAACAATATTATGTAATGTTTTTAATTTTTAATTTTTCCTTATAAAAATATGTTAAATTTTAATCATTAAAGTGATGCCTTATTCAGAAAATAGCTGACTTAATATCTTGAAAAAAAAAAATCTATAATTACATATATAATTATAATAAACTACTTTCTCAACAAAGTAAACATAATACTGCATAAAATATACCAAAATATAGAACTTAACAATGTCAAATATTAAATTTTTAAAATGAATAGGTCACAATTTATCACTGACAATTGTTTCTTTATAGTTTGAATTTTTAATCTTTTCTTATAAAAACACATTAAATTTTAATCATTAAAGTAATACTTTATTTTTATTGTATTTTTCCTTATGCATTCATTTCAATACACACTTTCAATGACTTTAAGGAAAATTGATTACAGTTTCCTGCTTTTAACATGAACGATTTTAATTTTCATTAATTAAATTATAGAAGCTCAGCGATGTCAAACAATAAATCTTTAAAATGAATAGTTCAAAATTCATATGTTACAATTGTCTTTTAGAGATGAAATAGTTAGAAATATTAGCAGTTTTTTAAATTTTCTTTTAATTTACATTATTAAATAATTAAATGAATCAAATTTTTAATATTTCCTTATAAAAATATGTTAAATTTTAATCATTAAAATGATACCTTATTATTATAACATTTTTATTTATGCATTCATTTTCAATACACACTTTTAATGATGTTAAGGAAAATCGATTACATTTTTCATGTTATTAGTATGATCGATTACAGTTTTCATTAATAATCACCTTTTTAAGTTATGTAATCGTAAAATTAATTTTAATCGATCCTAACGTAGTTTGGCGTGTCGCCAGAAAACATTTCTAAGGATTATGTAAAAAAAGATTAATTTTAATTACTTAATGTAAAATATTAATAATCAATCTAACTATAAAATGCATATAATCTGAATCTTATAATAATTTATAATAAATCTAATACATGTGTCTTGTTATTTCTAATAAGATTAATCATGTAATTTTATTTTATGATTAAAAGAAGAGGATTTTATTAATATCATAAAAATAGCAATACAATGAAACCACAATATTGATTATAAGAATTATCTTAAAGAATTTCTTTATTAGAAATTCTAAATAAGAAATATGAATATGTATTAAAAATAAATATATTCATATTTATTTTTATATATTCATAAAAAAAAAATTAAATATGAATATTTTGGTGGCCTACATTAATAATGATTTCAATCAATATAGCAGTATTTGTTGTAAAAGGTCAATAAACCCTTTTACAATAAATATATTCTTTTTATAAATATTGTTAAAAATCGTTATATTATATTAAAAGGAATTTAGTTATTTTTTTAAAATTAATTAAACATGTGAAGAATATTCTATAAATTTAAATTTAAAAGAGAAAAAAAAAAAGCTTTTAAGGTTGCAAAAAATAATTTATTACATATAAGAAATGTTGATGAAATATCCATTTGAAATTAAAAAAATATTTGTCAGCATATTTTTATTGGTATTTTTAATTCAAAAAGTTGCACCGGAAAATATGAATTACTTTTATAATTAATAATAATAAACCAATTATTTATAATTCTGATGATTTTAAAGGTATTTTACCATATAAAATTGTATTAAAATTGTTTATAAATATTTTGGTCATATATAGGCTTTAATAAAACCTAAATAAACTTAAGGTTTAAGTAGATTCATAATTAGTATTATACTTAAAAATTCCAAAACATTCTCTTTCTGTAGATAGTGTGCTTATGTATCTGAGCATCCATATTTTATCCTTGTAAAAAAGGCTTCCTTTTTCTACTGAATTAATTAGTTTTATTTAGTGTGTAAACTATAATAAGGATAATCTAATTAATTTTATTTCAATTAACACAAACTGAAACTTCTGATATTAACTTCCAAACATATAATTTAATAAGCGTCTACTTTCACTAGCATAATGTTACTAATTATCAAAATTTAATAAAGATAATTATCTACAAAGTGAATAATTTGTAAGGTTATAACTTAAACGTTATATATATATATATATATATATATACACTATTGGTTATATACAATAAATAACAAAAAATAACTCTAATTTGTTTAATTAAAGAAAAATTTTTTATTACAAGTTAGGATTGAAACAAAATTAAATGCTAATTGTTTGAAAATCATCTACTGTCTTTTCTTATAAAGCAATTTGTACTTATATTTTTGCTTTTATTACAAAAAGTAATTTATATATATTTGAGTGTATCAGATCAAAAAATTACTTTTTATTTTTTTATAGAAATTATCTCGTTAATAATTGTAAGGTTTTGATGTTTTTATGTGTATATATATTTTTATTATAGATAATAAAAAGAATATATAATTAAAATAAGAATATATAATTTGTAATATTGAGTCATTAAGTTAGTTTCAAAATTATATTTTATCCTGTGGCATTCTGAATTCTTCTTTATCTATACATTCACTTTTTTTCCCCATACTAGAATAAATTAAATATTTGTATGTTCATAATATTAATATTAGGGATGAAATGTCAGATAGATATTCTTTTATATTGAACTTTATTTAATATTTTTATTATTTAGAAATAAAAAATGATTCTGCGAATCATGTAAAAACGAATTTTTCCTGCTATCTTATATTGCCAGCAAGAACGCCCTATTTATTGCATGAAAGAATAAATAGGGCATTATCAGATTATTTCATTATATGTATATCATTAGATTATATCTATCACAAAATGATAAGTAATAAGGAAAAGCATTTCTTTAATTTAAAGCTTATCTATAATATTATTAAAAAAATGAACACATTTTAATCGAAAAGTAATTTTTATATTATTAATTTATTTTTAATTTAATAATTTATTAGTTTATTTTTATTTTTCATTATTATAATTAATTTTTATATTGCAAATGAATTTTCAAAAATGAATACCAATTTGTAAATTTTCAGATGTTTGCTTTAAATATTTATGATACTGACAGAGCATTAAAAATGAATAATATTTCATCGGAAATTATCACCATTCTGTGAAGTACTTGAACAGAAAATCCTAGCACATAAATCCTTCAAGTATATGACATATGCACAAGCCCTTTTTTGCCGTTTATATGACAGATATTTCTTTAAATTTTTAAGTGTTATTCATTAAAATTGTTTATGAAGAGAAATATCATCAAAGAAATATAGCATATAAATTTTATTAAGCTAGCATGTATGTTTATTTTTTTTATTTTATTTTGTATAATAAGATCAGGTTTGTAGCATCGTTATAGCATTCGAAACCAACAAGGATTCAAACCTAAAATATAAAGTAATCAATAAATTTTTAAATCAATGAATTTTTGTATACTTCATTTAGAACATTGGGAACTCCAATGTATGTTCTTTTATCCTTTCAGTAATTAAATATAGAAGTGATTGAAATGTGTGAAAGATTTTCTGTATTAATTAATTCTAATAAATGTTTCAGGTGTTAATAATTTTTTTAAAGTTTTTTCTAAAAGATTGATTTGATTTTCAGGCTTTACAATAACTAAATAAATCAAACAGTACAGATATATAATGATAATAGGATTTAACGTAAACGTTTCTAAGCTTTTATTTCCACTCTGTCTATTTTATTTTCAATAAATTGAATATAACATGGAAATGTAAAATTTCTTATAAAATATCTCCCAAAATATTTATAAAAGAATCTTCTAGTTCTAGTAAGCTAAAATAAAATATAAAGAACAATAAAATGAGTTCAATGAAACGTTTTTTTTTTTATTTATTGTATTGTTCCATGGGTTATTTCAAAACGTTACTTATAACTTTGGAAGTTTAATCAACCTATAAGTATATTTTTAATTAAGAGTATTTTCATAGTATTAATAGTAATTTAATTAATTTTTAATTATATATTTGATTTCTTTTTCATTAGTTCTATCCCTTCATTAATCTGGGCTCAGTTTCTTTAATCAAATTTAAATAAAATACATTATTTTTTTTTTTAAAAAGTCTTAGAATATTTAATAGTATATAAATGAAAAACGCATTTCATTAAACATATATCACGCATGTGATGATAAAAATAGAGAAACACTGATTGATTGTAGACATAAAAAAAAATGTGTAGATGTGATTATGAAGGACGACATTTTTTTTTTTTTACCTAAAATTTACAAAAACGTAGAAAGAATATTATAAAAATGATTATTTTAATTTAAATGTTCCATCAAATGAATGTGATTTGAAATTCGATTTGCATTTTGCACAAGTTATTAAATATTAATTACATTGATTATATTTGAATGTTTATTGAATTTTTTTAAACTTACTTGAAATTTAACCCCTTAAATTATTACTCTAAGTACTCTTATATGGTCCAACGGCCATACCATGCTGAATATACCGGTTCTCGTTAGATCACCGAAGTCAAGCATCATTGGGCGCGGTCAGTACTTGGGTGGGTGACCACCTGGGAACACCACGTGCCGTTGGCCAAATTCACAAATGTGGGACCTGAATGACCGAGTGTCTGGCGCTCTGCGGCTCGGTGCCACAGGTTTCGGGTTCGGTAGTGGTTCGGAATCCACTTTAAGTCGTAGGTCCCGGTCTTCTATGACCGTAAGAGCGTCATGGAGCCAAAGTCAGACGTTCTACCTACGGGTGCTCCATCACAACAGAAGCTGCTTCCTTCCCCTTCAACCATGAGTACATATGGGCTCGTGGGCTTGGCCAGCCAAGTGGAATAAGAAACAAGAACAACACTCTTATATGAGTGTGTCATATTTGCATTATTTTCCAGAACATCACAATCAAACTCGTGCGAAAAATTAGATTTTTATTCTGGACTAATGCGAGTATTTTGGTCTATCTTTAATAATCACTCGTGTTGTCATGCATCTGGCAACAATTAATTTATCGCTATTTCTTGCTGTTTTACTAAAATTTAGATCACTGCTTTTCAGTCGCAAAAGTTAAGTGATAATCTGTATATTATTGGGTTCGCTCACATGAAATGAAATTCTTTTTAATAATTGATTTTCCATAAAATGTAAATCTACCAGTATTAAGCTATATAATAGTGTTGTATATCATTTTATTGTTTATTATGTGCTCTGTGTAGATGTATATTTTGTTTTTGCATGTATTTTTGGAATTTGTAAAAAGAATCTTAAAAAACAGAAATGCAATGATTGTTAGAGAACTGGTTGCCGTTGGTTTTAAAGTACGTATAGCAACAGTTCCGTACCCTCTTGTAAAGCTTGAAAAGTTGAAAGAACGTGGAAAATTTGTTCTACTCGAATTGTTAGATAGCAAAAAAATTGCAAAGCTTTCAGATTTGAACACCAACCAGTATTAGGCAAAGGTATTATTCCTTTTTGGACAGTGTCAATACTTCTAATAAAAAGAGTTTACTGTATGATAATCAGTAATGTGCCTGTGTTTAATTAAGCCTGTATAATATGATCTCAGCAAAGTAGCTGAATGCAGAAGAAAAAATCCTAAACACGAACTCTTAACGATCAAGCTTACATCCGAAGAAAACAATATTGTCATTTTGATGGAGACAAATTGAAATTATCCATTACAGCTTTCTAGGAATAGGTCGAACATTTAATACACTATTGCTGTCAACATTTAATATAGTACATCAAAAATTATCGCCATCGCAATCAGCGTTAGAAAATCGAAAAGGCTTTATTTTTCTCCATGATAACGCACGACCTTGTGTTTCTCAAGTCACACCTCTAAAAATTGAATGAGTTGAAATTTGAGGTTATGTCCCATCACCCTAATCGTCATACTCCTCTCCAACTTCTTTAAACATTTGGAATCCTTTTTCTTGAAGAATAAATGCTTTGTAAATCATGAAGCATTTCAAAAACAGTCTTGACTCTAAATGAGAGGTATTCTTTGAAACTGGCATAAAAATTCTTTGCAGTCCAGGGCAGAAGTGTATTGATGAAGATGGACCATACTTTATATATGTTCAAACAATTTGACCGACTCATGGTGAGCGTTAGAGCTGAGGTTTCCTCCGCTGGCGGCTTTAGACACTGCTTACAGAAACAGGAGCCCCGATGGCAGTTGTGAGACGGAATACCTGGTAGAATTTTTCGGGCTTTTCTCCTATACTATACGCAAATGCGAGATAGTTCATCCCTAAACGTTCTCCTAGGAGGCACTGCTCTCCTTCTTCAGCGACTCGGAGCCAAGTCAGACTTCTACCTACGAATGATCCATCACAACAAAAGCTGCCACTTTTTCCGCCATCCAATGAGTAGATAACTCATGGAATGTCCGGCCCCTGTTGCCTGACACTGACGATTAATCATAGTCACAACAAGTTGTGTTTGTGATCTTTGTACCTAAAATTTGTGTTTGTGATCTTTGTACTTAAAAGATCATTTCATATGGAATAACCTAATATTTATTGTTTATAATTGCTTGCATATATATTCTGGGTTTCCCCCGTTTCTCAAATGGAATCGAAGTGAATACAAATTTAGTAGGGTTTTTTTAAAATCCCACTTTGAGATAGCAACATCTAGTCCTAGTCTAAGAATATTTTGTTCTCATGGAAGGAGGCAAAAGGGGCGCAGCTTCTGTTGTGGCGGATCACCCATAGGTAGAAATCAGACGTGGCTCCATGAAACTGAAGAAGGTGGGCAGTGCCTTGCGGGAGTACTTTTAGTGGGAAACTACCCCGCATTTGCGTATAATATGGAAGAAACCCCGAAGAACTACCACCCTACCTCTCCGACTCATGAGACAAGTTGCTGAACATCTCAAACGCCATTGAGCCTTCCCGATTTTTGAAAGAGTTTCTACAACAATACACCCAGCGGATTGAACCTCAGCTATAATACTCACTAATGGCACACGTTGCCTTTAAGCCGCGCTTAGGACCAACTTTAGTATCTATATATTGTGGGTGATCTTCAACGATATAGCGTTGAATCGAAGGATTGTAGTTCTTATTCTAATGGTCCTTTCGAACAGAATTTCTATAAAAAAAAGATAAATAAAATTGTATAAAAACTTATTGATTATAATTCCAACTCATATTTTTAATTTTTAGTAAAAATATCGTTCTGAAAAAAGATTGTATTTAAAAAAGAAAAATATATTTTTAACGGATTAAATACGGAAATATATTTACCATAGATTTGTGAATAAAAGTTCCCGAAAACTTAATGTCAAATAAAAGGAAAAAAAGTAAGTCTTTAGAATCCCCTGAACCTTTTAAAACGTTCATCCTCAGATGTTGCCGGGAAATATTTCTATTCGGCAGTGCACAGTTATGTGGAGAATTGGAGGTCGCTCGTGATTTTAAGGGTCTATTATGAAGCAGAGTATTGAAAAACGGAATGTGCATCTAATCGTAAACAAAGCGATTTAAGAACACTCTAATTTGTCCGCACACGCACACAAATAAAAGAGGAAATCGCTTCTCGTCTTCATTTTATTTGAAACCGAAAGGATTCCGTCTGTGCAAAAAAAAAAAGAAATTTCGTTTTGTTGTTCGGAATTTACTTAAATGTAAAACCTCCGACAGATGTTGATAATTCTCCGGTTTGTACAGGACAGACAAAATGAGATCTTTTTTTTGGAAAAGTAATGGTTTGAATTTAGAAAAAATAAATTCAGCATGAAAGCGGATTTAAGATAAACTTACTTTTAACCCTTTAAAAGGTGTGGTTTTTCAACTGTTTTTTTCAAGAATATTTTTAAATGAAAACATGTATTGTTATAATTATGATCAATATATTTTCATTTGGGCTCGATGGACGAGTGAGTGCTCTTGCTCTCGGTACCACAGGTTTCGGGTTCGAGTCCCAGCGGTGCCATGGATGTTTGTAGGGGTTCGGAATCCACTTTATACTTTATGAATCAGTCTACTATGACTACTACTAGTACACCACACGGCATTACTGTGCCTAGACCTGAGTTGCCCTTTTACAGTTTGGGAATAATGTGGATGAGAAGAAATCTGATTGGGCCCTGTGGCCTTCTACGGTCGCATGAGGTCTGGACCTACGGTTTAAAGTGCATTCCGAACCACTAAAAACATCCATAGCACCACTGGGGCTTGAACCCTGTGGACATCGAGCGCCTGAGCAGTAGTCACTCGACCATCAGAATCCAATAAAAAAGAGGCTACTGTATGATAATCGTAAACACTCAGCAAAGTAGCTGAATGCAGATGAAAGACCTAAACAGACCTACCGAGACCAAGACTACATCAAAAACAATGGTGTGTCTATGATAGAGTCAAAGGGAATTTATCCATTACAGGCATCAGGTTCGAATCCTGGCGGTGGCGTGGATGTTTGCGAGTGGTTCGGAATCCCCGTTAAACTGTAGGTCCCGGTCTAATTAGCCCAAGAGTTTATAAAATGACTGTAGAGTGACAAATCAAACCAAAGTTATGGCAATGAATACGAGGATGGTAGTTTTTACTCTAATGGTCATTTAGAATATAATTTCTATAATGAAAGATAAATAAAATTGTATAAAAACTTATTGATTATAATTTAAACGCATACTTTTAGTTTCAGTAAGGAAAAATCGTTCTGAAAAAGACTGTATTTGAAAGAAAAAATATATCTTTTAATGGATTAAATACGAGAAATATATTTATCATAGGTTTGTGAATAAAAGTTCCTGAAAACTTAATGTCGAATAAAAAAGAAAAAAAAAAGTAAGTCTTTAGAATCCCTTGAACCTTTTAAAAACGTTCATCCTCAGATGTTGCAGAGAAATATTTCTATTCGGCAGCGCACAGTTATGTGAAGAATTGGAGGTTGCTCGTGATTTTAAGGGTCTATTATGAAGCAGAGTATTGAAAAACGGAATGTGCATCTAATCGTAAACAAAGCGATTTAAGAACACTCTAATGGTCCGCGCACGCACACAAAATAAAGAGAAAATCGTTTCTCGTCTTGATTTTATTTGAAACCGAAAGGATTTCGTCTGTGCAAAAAAAAAGATTCGTTTTGTTGTTCGAATTTACTTAAATGTACAAACTTCCGACAGATGTTGATAATTCTCCGGTTTGGACAGGACACACAAATGAGATCTTTTTTATTTGAAGAGTAATGGTTTGAATTTAGAAAAAAATAAATTCGCCATGAAACCGATTTAAGACATAACTGGAAACTTACTTTTAACCTTTTAAAGGGACTTTTTCAACTGTTTTTTTAAGAATATACTTTTAATTGAAAATATTCATCGTTATAATTATGATCAATACATTTTTATCTGGGCCTGATGGAAGTTTTGGTTTAGTTTGGCACTCTGAGGTCATTTTGTGCACACTTTGGGCTAATTAGACTTTTGGCTTTGGCACCTACAGTTACCTTATTTGGGCTTTGGGACCTACAGTTTAATGTGGATTCCGAACCCCTTCAAACATCATGCCATCTCCAGGATTCCAACTTGAAGCACTAACGGCCAGAGCGCTAGCTGATTGGGCATTAGGCCAGAGTGC